GTTTTGTTTTGTTTTGTGGCACCGGGGATTGAACTCAGGACCTTGCGCTTGCAAGGTTGGCAGCAGTGTTACTGAGTTAAATCCCCGGCCCTAAAGATTGTTTTTTCTTATAACATTTTCCCATTTAAGTAAAATTTATTACATTCATGTGTCACATATTCATATGTTCAAGAAAGATTCAATCAAACGTTAATAATGACTTGGTGCCGGGGATTTAGCTCAGTGGTGCCACTGCCAGCCTCAGAAGCACAGGGTCTGGAGTTTGAGCTCCGGTATCAAAAAAAAGTTAGTAATGACTTAAAAGCTACAACAGTAATGTTAGCTTTTAGATACAGTGTACAAGTTGTGGATTTTAAAATAGCCCAGAGGTTTTTAGACATACTCCTGTTTGGGAATAACAGATGCATTTTTTCTGATGAAACATGGCATGGGAATTACACATTACTCTTGTGACCAGAACAGACTACGGTAGTGTTGTGTAGATAGGACTGGTTTACTTTTGTAAAAATGACATATTATTCATTTGCCTTTTAGCTGCCTCCTTGTCACACGCTTCTTCTTTTTGATAGATTTTTCTAAACTTGAAAGCTATAATTGAAAAGCGTCTGTAATGAGCCAGTGAGACAGGCAGGTCTCACTGTTTCCCAGGCTGGCTTCAAGTCCGATCCTTCTCCCTGAGTGTCCGAGTGCTGAACCTGCAGACCGGTGCCACCATGCCTGGCTTTTCTTCCATCTGCCTTCTAAGGCGTGGAAAGCACTGCCGGTTTACGAGTTGCTTTTCTGATAGAGGAGACACTTTCTTCTGGAACACTCTTTTTGGCTTTTGGGTGGTTAGACCACAGAATACTAAGTATTCTGTATAATAGAAATAGAAATGCTCTAACAGAACCCACTATTTTGAATTTAAGAACTTGTGGTACACAAAGTCATTGGTTGAACTTGTAATATTTTAAAATATAATTTAAGGGAGAATTGAGTTGTGTAATGAGCTCCCATGAGACAAAAATTGGAATAGCTCTCTTAAGTAGAGATCCTGCACAACAGAGCAACTGGCAAGTGATGAGACTGGGCAATTCCAAAAATGAGTTTTAGTAGAAATTCAAGTTGGTGTTGACTCTGATAGTTAAGTCTTAAGGGCCAGGGATTTAACTCAGTGGTGCTGCCGCCTGCCTGGAAAACGCAAGGTCCTGAGTTCGATCCCAGTACCCCCCCCCAAAAAAAAAGTCCTGGCGGCCAGGGATTTAGCTTAGTGGTTCTGCCGCCTGCCTCCAAGCACAAGGACCGGAGTTCGATCCCTGATACCAAAAAGAAAAGAAAAAGTCCTGGAGTAAATCATGGTAAAGCTTTGTGTTTTTCAAGATAGTCATGATAGGAGTTATGATACTGACCACTCGCTCCTTTTTGGATTCTATATCTATGCAGTAGCCCATCAGCTATTAAATCAACTGTAGAAAGAGTATTCCATGCTGTGTAGTCTTCAGCTTGCAGTGAGATGGTGTGTGGTGTAACAGAAGGGATACTGTTAGACTTTTGACTGTCAGATATTTTTTAAAAATTAAATTAATTAGTTGATTTATATATTTTGGTGCTGGGAATCAAACTCAGGACCTTATGCTTGCCAGGCAGGCACAGTGCCATTGAGCTACACTCCTGGCCCATCGACTGTCAGATTTTATTTTTTGCATTTCTCTAAGAATAAGAGCAGCAGTTCTAATTACTGTTTTAAGAGTGCTAGTCTCTTTTTTTCTGAATTCAGAATGAGGCTTTTATGGAAGCTCAAATATGGTGTTAAAGATCATTTTATTTAATTCTTACATTTACTCTGTACCAGATTCTTATATTGCCAATCAACTGACAAATTTTAAATCATAATTTCTTGTTTCTTAGGCACAAGATTTCCTTGGACACCAGTGAAGTAGCTCGGTCTAACAGCTCGCTTGATTTTGGGCAAACCTGTAATCCCAGCATTTTGGAACCTGAGGCAGGTGGATCACAAGTTTGAGCCCAGCTGGGCAATTTAGCAACTTAATTAGACCCTGTCTCAGAATAAAGGGAGGGGCATGAAGGCTCTGGGTTCAATTCCTCCCAGTACTAAAAAAACATTATTTTATTTTGAGTTAGGGTCTCACGGAGTTGCCCAGGCAGGCCTTGAACTTGTGATCCTCCTACCTTAGTCTCTTAAGTAGTTGGGATTATAGACATATGCCATCACACCTGGATTATATAACATTTTATTTTATTTGTTTTGATTTTTGTTTTTTGAGACAGGGTCTCACTATGTTGTTGAGACTGACCTGGAACTCATTATGTAGCCCAGGCTGGTCTTGAACTCACAGCGATCCTCCTGTCTCAGCCTCCTGAGTGCTGAGATTACAGTCGTGTGCCACCACGCCCAGCCATAGCATTTTATTTTTTAAATTAAAAAAAAAATTGGGGCTGGGGTAGTTCAGTGGTGCCACTGTCTGCCTCACAAGCACAAGGTCCTGAATTTGACCCCCAGTACCGATTTTTTTTTTTTTTTTTTGTACTGGAGTTCTAACTCCAGACCTTGCTTGGCGAAACCTCCAGTCCCTAATATAGCATTTTTATATCATAAACTTTTTTTTTGTATTATAAAGTCACATAACTTTATTAATTTGGACAGTAAAGGAAAACTACCTGTGACATCTTAATATACTTATAGTGGAAAATTTTAGCTTTTATCAGTCATCTATTCAAACTGTATTCTTATTTGACATTTTTATCATATGTTCTTTCCATAGGTGAAATAAGAGGATTTTTTTTTTTTTTTTTTTTTTTTTTTGGTGGTGGTGGTTTTGGTAGTACCAGTGATTGAACTCAGGACCTTGCATGAGAGGCAGGTGCAGTTCCACTGAGCTAAATTCATGGCCCCAGAAACTCTTTAATTTAATTTTTTTAACTTTTTTTTTTCAGACAGGGTCTCACTATGTATTTTAGGTTGGCATTGAATTCAAGGGTAATCCAGGCTGACCTTGATTTTGCAGTGACCCTCCTGCCTCAGCCTCCTAAGTGCTGGTTCCTCCTAAGTCCAGTTCTCTCTCTTTTTTAATATTAAGGAAACAAATAAAAGTAGTGAGATTAGTGTAATACATGCCCTTGTCTCCATATCTCAGCATCTGTGAGTATCAGTACTTGACAATCTAATATTCATCTTTGGAATATTCCTTAAAGTATTTTGAAGCAAATTCTGGATATCCCATTGTATGTTTTGTACATAAATCTAAGTATGTATCTATAAAAGATAAGGTCATTTTAAGCAGGTGTGGTCTTGGGAGACTGAGGCAGGAGGATTGATTCGAGTTTGAGGCCAGCCTGGGCTACATATTTCAAGGCTGGCCTGAATTACATGGCAAAACCTGTCTCAAAAAAAAAAAAAGAAAGTTATTAAACGAATAATACCATTATTAAAACTTAAAAGAAAAAAAAACTAAAAAGAATACCATTAATACCATCTAGTCAGTTGCAACAGTAAACTTTTAAGACTCAATAAAGTTCTTCAGTGACTAGCCCTTAATTTATATAATCATTACATTATTATAAGGCAATAGATTGTTTATACTTTTGTGTGATTATAAATGCTTTGATGAACAATTTCACATGGATGACTTTTTCTCTGGTTGGATCATTTCCTTACAAGGTGCAAATATAGTACAAAAAGTCGCATGACATTTCATGAAGGAGCTCTTTGTCCAGGGTGCAAACCTCCCTTCAGGGCCTCTTAGGAGCCTTAGGCACTTTAAGAAAGCAGTGGCTTGTTGTCTTTCTGCTCAGGGAAAGCGCTGCTGGCTTTCATTGTACCTGGTCCTATGTGGAATCTGGCCATATCTGTCCTTGAACCTAAAGTGAAAAACACCATGCATGTAGTCTTGAGACAAGTTTAAGGACAAGAAAACTCGACCCTATGTTTTTACTATTTTAAAAGGTAAGGTTGGAGTTAATAGAAAACATTAAGATGCTGTTTAAATTGAGGGTTTAACTTACTGTTGTTTGAATTATACTGTATTCTGAGTCTGGATAAATAATAGAAAGCTACAGGCCTGGGGATGTAACTCAGAGGTGGCACACTTGTCTGACATATACAAGACTTTTTGTTTTTTGAGACAGGGTCTCACTATGTAGTTGAGACTGACCTGGAACTCACTATGTAGCCCAGGCTGGTCTTGAACTCACAGTGATGCTCCTGCCTCAGCTTCCCAAGTGCTGGGATTACATGCGTCTGCCCCCATGCCTGGCTTATATACAAGACTCTTGCTTTGAAGCGCCAACGCTACAAAACCAAACGAAACCACCACCACAAAAAAAATCCCCTACAATAAGCAGTGTGTGAGGAGTTTGTCTCTGTTGTCCGTTGCTGGTACTATCTGTGAGCACAGTGGTGGTACAGTCCAAAAAACATGGACTTTGGAATCAGGTCTGGGTTCATTCCTTGAACCTGCTGTAACAGTACTGACAGCAGTGATAATGTAAATAATTATAATTTAGTGAGCATACTCTGTACCAGAGACCATGCTTTTGTTTATGTTATCTCATTTAATTTTCACAGTAACTCTGTAAGCTCAGTGTGTGACAGAGATAACCTACGGCAGTGCTAGGTCTGTTTTGTGATACCGTGGTCCATTCTCCCAGACTGCCTTGACTCCTGCTCCCAGGCTGGAGGTGCCCTAGTCTGTGGGTGCAGTTTTTCTGCTGTTAACTGTAATGCTACAGTTAGGGAAGTGTTTGTAAAAAGCACTCCTCTCACATCATCACTCCATCCCTTCTTACTCCTGTTGTTACACTGCAGACTTATGGATTGAGTTCCGTGTATGACATGGAGGTAAAGCAGGTGAGAAAAGGAATGTGTTAGAGCTTGCGTAAGTACTTCATGTTTTCATTAGTTACTGATTTCAGTTTTCAAGGCTGGCTGTTAAGGCAGGGCATTTCATCTCTTGAACTCCTCTCTTCATTTGTCTTTTTCTCCTACTTTTGCTTTTTTTCAGAGTTTGAATTCTTATGCAAATGGAGCATATGGTCCACCTTACCCCCCTGGTCCTGGGACAAATACTGCCTCCTACTCCGGGGCTTATTACCCACCTGGCTATAGTCAGACCAGTTACTCTACAGATGTGCCGAGTGCTTACCGTTCACCGGCCAGCAGCCCAAGCCCAGTCTCTCGGTGGATGTACCCACAGCAGGACTGTCAGAACGGAGCACCACCTCTTCGGGCACACGTTCCAGGGTATCCTGCTTCACAGGTGAGTGGGTTTCTGTTGGGAAAAAAGTACGGAATCTTTGTTTCTTGAATTGTAAACAGTGCAAGGATATTTATTTATACTGGTGCTGTACTTGAGATGCTCATCTATGTTTTTCCAGAGGTGAAGTCAGGGGCAACTTTTGTTGTTGTTGCTGTTGTTTTGAGACAGGGTCTCACTGTCTAGTTCAGGCCGGCCTTGAACTCACTGTGTATCCCAGCCTGGCCTCAAACTTGCAGCGATCCTCCTACTTCAGCCTCCTGAGTGCTAGGATTATAGCACGCTCCACCACGTGTGGCTGGCAAGGACGACATCTGTATTGATGCTTTCTTGTTGTACGTATTATATATATAGCAACTATTTTGGCTGAAGACACCGTAAAGATGTCATAATCATAGTTTTTATAGTGAAAAATCTTTAGAGGTCTTACTGGAAAGTTTCTGTCTTAACCTTTTAAAATTGTTGTTAAGTTTATATTTTTAAATATTCTATGAATGGTACCATGTTTATTTCTGTGGTCATTTCAAGAGGAATTCTAATATGTCTTTATTTTTGCTTTCTTATAACATACAGGGCCATTTGTTCCCACCATCAGTGCGACACTTTCGTATACTTCGTCCATTGCATTACACACTTTACTCTTCCTGAGTTTGTCACCAATTCTGACCCTGGTTATCTTTGGAACCAGGTATTTTCAGACTTGGAGAAGTTATGTTACTGGCATCTCAGAATCTGTCTGTACTGGAATAATGTCATGACTTCTCTAAGTTTTGAAGCAATGACAGCATATTTCTTCCTCTTGACCTAGAACCCTGGAATGACAGTGACCCATTACCCTTATGGGGATGGTAATCGGAATGTTCCACAATCAGGACAAACTGTACGACCCCACGAAGACGCATGGGCTTCTCCTGGTGCATATGGGATGGGTGCCCGTTACCCCTGGCCTTCAGCTGTGCCCTCAGCACCACCCGGCAATCTCTACATGACCGAAAGTGCTTCGCCATGGCCTAGCAGCGGCCCTTCTCAGCTACCTCCTTCGTCACCACCCCAGCAGCCCAAGGTAGGAGGCCTTCTCAGTGTCACTCCTTTGATCTCTGGGAATTAAGAGAGCACAAGATGGAACCTCTCTGTATTGGTCTATGTAAAATGGAGACAAATTGCAAAATGTTGGTGACTACTACCTGTAGCTTTACCTCTTTTCTTTCCTTCTGGTACTGGGGATCAAACTCGGGTCCTTGCGCTTGCGAGGCAGGCGGAACCACTTAGGTAAATCCCCAGCCCCCCACTTTTTGGACACACGGTCTCATTATGTAATTGAGGCTGACCTGGAGCTCATTATGTAGCCCAGGCTGGTCTCAAGCTCACAGCGATCCTCCTGCCTCAGCCTCCCATACTTATCATAGGGAATTTGCACCTGTACATGATACATCCTGCCTTTTTTTCCATTTTCCCCTTCCCCTCAAGCCCTCTCTCCTCCCTGTATGCAAAAGCTTTGTTTCCATTCCTCAGCCTTATGTCTATCTCCTATTTTTTCTCCCCTCACACACTTTATTTTTAAGAGACATTTCAGACATTTTACATCCTGTTCATTTGTTTTGAGCCAGTCTTACTATGTAGTTCATGCTGGTCTTGAACCAACTATGTAACCCAGGCTGGCCTCAAAGTTATGCTGATTCTCCTGCCTCAGTTTCCTGAGTGCTGGGATTACAGGTGTGCACCAACACAACCAGCTCACATTCTTTTAAAAAACAGAAAAATGCAGGGGCCAGGGAGTTAGCTCAGTGTTTCCACTACCTGCCTTACAAGTGTATGGTCCCGAGTTTGATCCCTAGTACCAAAAAAAAAACCAAAACCAAAAACCCAGAAAAATGCACATTTCTGTTTTTTGCAATACAATTCAAATATTAAATACAATCAAAGACTGTATTTTACTACCTCAAATAATCTATAGACGGAAGACCATGATCTATGGATAGAAGATGTGTAATATCTGTAGTAGCAGCTTGTATGTTCTAATTTAAAATTAAACCATACACTTGAATATCATCTTCTAGTAGCTGCATTCCTTTTCACAATCTCTCTGAAGGATTTGCCTGTTTAGGGGGAAAACTACCTAATTCTTACCTCTGAAGTCACTGGCTGGATTGTGAGGTGGTAAGAGAGGTTGTGAGGTGTTCATGATGATGACCTGCCTCAGGACAGGTGGCAGCCATTGTTGGAATCCTCTGCCTTTTAAGTGACAGGGGACTCCTGTGGGGTTCCTCTCAAATGATTAAAGAGGGAGGTCCGATTTTATTGGTGAAGTATCTGATTTTCATGTATCTTCCTGGTCTGGGGAGAGATGTGGGCTAACAAATGTAATGTTGGTGGATTCCCATTTAAACAACCTTTTCCCCATTTTGCTGTCCCATTCCAAGGATTCCTCATACCCCTATAGCCCATCAGATCAAGGCATGAACCGGCACAACTTTGCTTGCAGTGTCCATCAGTATGACTCGCCGGGTACAGTGAGTAACGATCATTCAGACCCTCTGGATTCCCAAGTGCAGTACACCGCTGAGCCTCAACTGTATGGTAACGCCTCCGCTGAGCAGCCCAGCAGTCAAGAGCAGAGTAGTAATCTCCCTGAAGAGGGTCTATCTTCAGACGAAAGTACTCCTGCGAGTATTAAGAAAATCATACATGTGCTGGAGAAGGTTCAGTATCTTGAGCAAGAAGTAGAAGAATTTGTAGGAAAAAAGACAGACAAAGCGTACTGGCTTCTCGAAGAGATGCTAACGAAGGAACTTTTGGAACTAGATTCTGTGGAAACTGGGGGCCAGGACTCTGTCCGGCAGGCCAGGAAAGAGGCTGTTTGCAAGATCCAGGCCATACTGGAAAAATTAGAAAAAAAAGGATTATGAAAGGATTTAGAATGACTTGGAAGCCTGTTACTTGGCCAAAGAACTCTTGATTTGGATTAATTACTAATGTCGTGAAATTGCCCATTGATGACAAGAAGCAATACATTCCAACTTTCCTTTGATTTGAAATTTGAAAAACTGGCAAAGGAATAGAAGAACATTTCATTTAGGAGTTTTTTCAGTTTTCAGACGAATGAATGTAATAGGAAACTGTGGAATTATCAGTTTTGCCAAATAGACTCACTTCTTCTTAAGAAATTTATATATATTTGTAAGCTGCTTCTTATCATCAGGAAGGAAATATACTTCGTGTAACAGGCTATCAGAAACTTGAGAAAGCAACGAACAGGCTTTGTTTTTGTAAATGTATGAATAACTTGTCACATTTTTGTACATTGTGACTGCTTTGAGCTGCCACTTCGTGCGAGTAAATTACAGCTTAGACTTTAGCTTTCTTGGACCTCTGTTTTGTTTTGTTATTTGCAGTTCACAATATAGTATTATTCTCTACTTCTTGGTACATTTTGTAGTAACATGTTTAATATAATTATTCAGGAGACTCTGTTGACAGACTGTATTGGCAGTTCTGAGTGGATCTGTGTCCTTTCACAACTTGAATGTATTGTACTGTGTAGTTAGCTCTGCAGTAGCTTGTCTTCCTTTCTTTGTATAACTAGGGTTAGAATTCTTACATTTTAACTTTTCCTCCTCCTCCTTATTTTTTTATCAGTACAGGGGATTAAACCTAGCACGTGCTGGGCAAGCTTTACCACTGAGCTACATCCCCCCTGGCTCTTTTTATCTTTGAGTTAGGGTCTTACTAAGTTGCCCAGGTTGGCTTTCAACTTGCAGTCCTGCCTCAGCCTCCCAGGTAGCTGGAATAAAGGCATACACCACCATGCCCAGCTAGTACTACTTTTCATAGCAAATAAAAGGCACATATGGAAATAGCATTGACATAGCAATGTCAGTGTATTTTGATAAAGACACACTTTAAAATTACCTGTATTTTTTTTAACAAAGTGTAATTATCTTTTCACTATTGCTGCTCTTAGAGATAACCTTATGATGAAACACAAATGCCACAGTGAGATAAATGCCTGCAAAAAGTAATAAATTTGATATTTGATAATATCATTTCCCATTTCATCTGTTAGTTTCATCAGCCAAAATCCCTATGGGCAGATTTCAGCTTAACTTATACTTAAAAATTAGGATAATAGGAGATTCATGCTCAGGGAATGATTTAGCCATAGCTAGAATGGGAAATTATTTTCTTCTTTTAAAGTTAGATTTGTTTTTTGTTTTTTTTTTTTTTTTGGTACTGGGAATCAAACTTGGGCCCTTGCACTTGTGAGGCAGGCAGCGGCACCACTGAGCTAAATCCCCGGCTCTTAAAGTTAGATTTGTTTTTGTTTTTTTTTTTTTGGTACTGGGAATCAAACTTGGGCCCTTGCACTTGTGAGGCAGGCAGCGGCACCACTGAGCTAAATCCCCGGCTCTTAAAGTTAGATTTGTTTTTGTTTTTTTTTTTTTTTTGGTACTGGGAATCAAACTTGGGACCTTGCACTTGTGAGGCAGGCAGCGGCACCACTGAGCTAAATCCCCGGCTCTTAAAGTTAGATTTGATGGTTACTTTATAGAGGAAATTTCATAGACTTGCCTGTTTCATAAAAAAAATGTTAATTGCAGGCCGGGGATTTGACTCAGTGGTGCTGCTGCCTGCTTCAAAAAAATGTTAATTGCTATTAATAATAGTCATTTTAGAACCAAATTTCAAAGAAGGATATTGAAGAGTCTCAAATGGCATAGCCCTGTTCTGTTATATGAAGAAACTTAGGTAAACCACTGACTTTTTATATCTGAGGTGAGTTCAGGTGTATACTGTCTACTTTTGGAAAAACAGCTATTTCTTAATAAGATACCCAAGTGATAATTTTTCTTTTTCCTGGGCTGCCAGGCCTGTTAGGTATACTAAATCTATTAGCCATCTGCTTTCCTCATACACAGAACCAAGCTAGTAAAAACGTGTTTGATAATGAGAAGGAATGTAGCAAGAATGGCGACTGGATATCATGGCTGGGATAAGTGGGGTTTTTGTGTTTTGTTTTCTTTTAGACAGGGTCTTGCTATGTAGTTCAGGTTGGCCTTGAACTCACTGTGGATCCCAGGCTGGCTTCAGACTAGTGGTGATCCTCCTGCTTCAGCCTCCCAAGTGTTGGGATTATAGGGGACTAAGTGAGTTTTGCTGGATAATATGGTATTAATTTTATTCTAGAATTTTTATTTTTGAGCTAATACAGGAACGTTTTACAACAAAAATCTTTTGTATGAAAATTAGAAAGTTATACTGGAGACTAAAACTTAGAAGAGGGAGAACTTGAATCTAAGTTACCTCTGAGGAACTTGATTAATTTAGAAGAGAACATTACTGTTTAACTTACTGAATGCCCAACATGCCAATTTTCATGAAGTCTTGATTTTTATATATATGTACAAATGTTATGCACAAATATACATATATGTGTATCTTTTTAAAGTTATTTTTAAAACTTTTGTTATGATTTTAGCCTTACAGAAAAGTTGTAAAGTAGTAGACTTCCTGTCTACTCTTCTCAGCCTTTCCCTTAACGTGCATCTTTCATCAGCCATAGAATATTTGTTAAATTAAGAAACTGACCTTGAGGCTGGGGATTTAGCTCATGGGTTCTGGCGACTGCCTCGCAAGCACAAGGACCTAAGTTTGATCTCCAGTACCAAAAAATAAAAAAAACTGACCTTGCTACAATATGACCCTGCTAACTACAGAGGCAGCAGTAGAGATTTTAGTAGTCCTTTTATTAACGTTCTCTTATCGTTCCAGGATCCAGTCCGGGTCCCATCTTGCCTTTTCTTGTCACATCTCTGGTGTCCGCTGGTCTGTGACATTGTGTCCTAATGGGCTCTCTGATGCTGTATTTCTGGTGTTATGAAGCCAATCATTATGCCAATGCGGTGTCTGCTAGTACTCTCTACAGTAAATTTACCATTTTCCTTTGTAATTACTAAATATTTGCTAGACATACTTTGAGACTATGCAAATGTCCTGTTTCTTCTTAAACTTTCGCCGATTCCTTGTGCTATCTATTGGCAGACCTTGCTTGTGGCAGTTACTACTGCGATGGTCCATTGGTGATTTTCTCCTTTTCTCATTTCTTCTGTATTTAATAATTGGAATTCGTCTGTAAGGAAGAGTTGTCATAAACGAATTTATATTTTTAGTTATAATAATTAGATGTTCAGGATAGCTACAAAGTATTTAAAGATGTAAACAGTGTTAAAATGATTCTAAATACCACTATCAAAGAACTGAGTTGGTAACCTGTCTCAGAAAATAGAATTAATTTAAGAAGGAAAATATTTATGATTTGTAGAATTGTTTTGACTTTTTAATGAATGTTGACTTTAGAATAAAATTAAATTTTGGGGGTGGGTGGGAAATTTTACTTTTTTTTTCTGGTAACAGGGATCAAACTCAGGACCTTGCACTTGTGAGGTGGGCACAGTGCCACTGAGCTAAATCCCTAGCCCATGAAATTTTGCATTTAGACTAAAGTATCTAAATTTATATTACTTTTGGGATAATTTTTGTTAAAATCTTGAATAAAGTTACCCAGACCAAGCATGATAAACACAGCTATGTTTTCTTTCTATTAAGCTCTTGTTGACCCAAATATAAACTCAGTATAAACAAGTTGGCCTGAAGGAGATGCCTATAGCATGGGTTATGTCTGTGGGCTGTATATATGCTAATGCAGAATTCTTTTAAACGCTCTAAAAAAATGAGGTTGGAAAATAGTTCTTTGTCTAATTAATGTAAATTATTACTGTGTAAGCTAAGCATATTTTTAAAAACGAGTAATATAGCTTAACTGGCACTTTTAAAAATGTTTTGAGGAAATGGAGCCTTTTTCCTTTCCTAAAATGTTATGTTTACCATAGTTTGTAGAAGTTATGAGTTTAACCAGTCAAGTCTGAAAAAAGCAGCATTCTCTGATCCCACCCCTATTTTTCTTGCTTTAAGGCAACCACTTTCAAATGTAAAACATTTTAAAATGTACTTTCATGCTTTTAAATAGCACAATTATGTTGCTTTTTCTTGACTTACCAATTTTAGGTCTTTTCTACTGTGTGTGTTTTTTATTATTATTATTATAGAGGATGACAATTTGAGTTTATCTCTTGGCCTTTACCCCTCACAGATCTCAGCCGTGTCCTCCCTACTTCTCAGTATGGTTATATAGTAATTTCTATGTAAATGCTAACCAGAGCTCTGCCATGTAATAAACTGTGATATCTTTTCCTGAATAACTCCTTGTTTTCCTTGTAATTAATCATTTGTCGTCTTTATTTTGTTTGCTTATGCACTTTTGACTAATTTGACCTCAGTCCCTCCATCAGTTGTCTAAATCTTCTCTCAAGATGCTCAGATGTGTTTTGTATCAAACTCCTCAAGACCTCTGTCCCAAAACTTTCTCCAAGAGGACTGGTACGTTCCTGGGGCAGACTGTTACCCTCTGTTACCTTGGAATCTCTCTTCACTTATGCCGGGGATTCCCTTTGCCTTTTCTTTTCTTTTGGAACAAAGTTTTACTGTAGCCAAGGCTGGCCTCAATTTTCAGCAAGCCTCCCAAGTGTTGGGATCACAGGTGTGTGTGCTACCATGCCTGGCATATTTTTAAATTTTTGAGACAAAAGTCTCACCATGTAGTTCAGGCTGTCCTTGGGCATTAGGCGATCCTCAAGCCTCAGCCTCCCAAGTGCTTATATCATAGGCATGTGGCCCCAGGTCAGCTTCTTCTATTGTCTTTTAACACCACCCCTACCCCCGGCCCTACCAGGGATTGAACTCTGGACCTTGCACTTACGAAGCAGGTAGAACACCACTGAGCTAAATCCCTAGCCTTTCCCCCTTTTTTTGTGGTGCTATACTGGGGATTGAAACCAGGACCTTTGCGTTGAGGCACACCCCCAGTTCCTTTTCTATTTCTTTTGTGATTTCTTACTTCAGGGTTTTGCTAAGTTTCCTAGGCTGGGCTCAAACTGCTTCAGCCTCCCAATGCTAGGATTACAGGCAAGTACTACCATGCCCAGGTATGGGATTCTATTGTGTGTGTGTATATGTGTGTGTGGTTGTAGCACCTTATATCTGAGGATATTAATGATAATTTTTTGATGTTTTGTTTTTCTACGTAATAAATTTCCTCCAGAGTAGCTTTTTCCTTTTTTTTTTTTGGTATCAGATATCGAACTTGAGTCCTTGCACTTGCTGAGGCAGGCGGTAGAACCACTGAGCTAAATCCCCAGACCAGCTTTTTCCTTTCTTTAAAGTCTTGATCATGTTAGTATTTCTCAGATGTCTCTTAGTCCTTGGTTGTGTTTTTTACAATGTGATTAAATGATACTAGAAATTCAAAATTGTTTCTAGATTCTTTTTTTTAAACTGGGGATCAAACTCCTTGTGCTTGCAAGGCAGGCAGTGAGCTAAATCCCCGGCCCACTGCTTATATTTTTCTTTTGATTTTTGCAGTACTCCCTCATGGATCCAACCCAGGGGTACTTACCCCTAAACTGTACACCCCAACCCTTTTCTTTTATGAGACAGTTTCTTGCTAAGTTTTCCTGGGCTGGCCTAGAACTTGTGATTTTGCTAGCTCAGCCTCTCAAGTAGTTGGGACCCCAGGAGTGCGCCATTGCTGCTGGTGGCTTCTCCTCTGTGTGTGTGTGTGTGTGTGTGTGTGTGTGTGTGTGTGTGTGTGTGACATATGCTGGCAAATGCTATATCACTGA